GTACGAATACGGAGCGAGTACAAACATCGAGTGAGTACGAATACGGAGCGAGTACAAACATCGAGTGAGTACGAATACGGAGCGAGTACAAACATGACCTATTGAGAATTTAATTCAATTGGATAAAAAAATATTAAAATGATTATGTTATTGTTAAATTTGTAACAACGTTTTTAACAAGATTTTCAAAGGAAAAAAAATCTTTAAATTTAAAGAATCTTCAAAATTTAATATAGGTGGAGAAAAAAAAATATTATTTTATTAATCTTATTAATTAAATGCTAAAAGTTTGTTAAATAATAAATGTATTAAATAATTTATTAATACGATTAATTTCAGATAAAATTTATGTCCTTTTGAATATTTTGATTTATGGAAATGCTTTAAATAAAATTAATTATAAAAAATAGTAATATTTTTATCTATTTTGTCTTGTAAAAAACATATTGTGAAACAGAAAACTCATAAGATTATAACTACTATTTTATATTTACATTATATTTTTATTGTCATGTTTTTATTTGTTTTTCTTGTAATAAATTCTGTTTTTTAAGGACCCTCCTATCTCTTCCTTCTCCAAGCTCATGGGTTTGCAGTTCTAGAACCATTCGCCTATCGTAAGGGTAAGGGTCATTGCCTTCAGCCGGTAGAAGGGCGTTGACTTTCATTATCAGGGTATTTTCGAGAGATAAAAGATGTATGTGGGGTTTTCATACACGGCTGCATTTTAGGCATTTCTTAATCTTCAGGTTTCAAAATTTCAGTTTCATCCCTATAGTTTGCAACCCATTTCCTATTTTTATCCTTGAGTCCAAAACACAACTTTTAGGTATGAAGAACTAAAATGGAAATGGATTATAAATTGTAGGGATAAAAAAAAGCAATAAATTTTAAATCATAAGGATGAGAAAGGTAGTGAATTATAAACCATAGAAATAAAAACCGAAGTTTTAAAACTATAAGGAGGAAAATAGAAATTTTAAACAGACCACATTACAAGGACTAAAAACGTAATTTACTCTAAATATAAGAAGTGTTTAGAATTATCCAAAAATGTATTTAAAAACACGTATAATCGTTGATCAAAATCTATATTATGACTTTTTATATATCTATACTATATTATAAAACATTTGACAAAAAACTCTTAAATATTGTTTATTATACATAGAATACTGTTTATTGATGCATATTACTTAAAATTCAATATTACAAGTAAATTATGTCTAAGTACAACTTACTAAAGCTTTATGTTTGAATTCGTCTAACTAATTGCAGATAAAAATAATCAAATAAAAGATAAATATCTCATTTTAAATATACAAAGTCAAAAATATAATTAGGATAATCATTGAGTTCTAACAAAATATTTAATTATTATCTTTATAAAAATTTATATTATTAAACCAAAAATAAAAAAAATGAATTAATGATACGTACAAAAAAGGAGAAATTTGAATAGTTAGTTTGATACTAATATCAATTTTCTTTTTCAAATTTTTATGATATATTCATATTTTTATTTATTCAAAAATAAAAACATTATCGTTTTCTCAAAACCACATAAAACCGTATTATAATATCGACTGAGAAATAAATAAATAAAATGAAAAATTAAATCAAGATGTATCTTGCTGCATTATGCAAGTACTGTTCTAGTTTGTTTAAAAAACATATCTTTAATAAAATATGTTGATTCATTTATTTCGATTTAATTCAAAAACATTCTTTTTTAAACATTTCAAGCTAACAGTACCAAATATTATTCGTTTTATAACTTTTATTTACACAATTGAATTCACTTTTTAAAATTAAAAATGAATTCATTCTATTATAATATAACGTTAGTTTTCTTCCCGAATCAATGTAAGATCTTATAGTTTTTATTTTATTCTGTTTCATGATTTCTTAAAATCTTAAAAATTCAAATTTAAAATTCTTCAAGTAAATTTGTAATTTCAGAATTGACATATTTGATAACAAAATTACTAACGTTTTGTTTAGCCGTTACTAAACATTTTTTTAATTTACAAGTACTTAACTAAGTTTACATTGTTTTTTAATTAGATATAAAATTATTTTTTTAAAGTAAATAATATTTACATATAATAAATAAAATAAATAAACTCATACACTCTCATCATCTTTAGTGAGGTTTGAATTCTTGATCTCCTAGGAGGTCACAAACTCACATATCGTTAAGTCAAAGGCTCTTTAGTTAGATATAAATTGTTGCAATTAAAATAAATAGTAAAGTTTAATTTTGGTCTCTAACATTTGAAATTTTCGATGAATATCGTTCTTTTAAACTTTAAAAACTCAAACATGGTCTTTCATATCAACCAATTCTCAACGATTTTAGTCTTTCTATTTATAGTCGTTAATTTTTTCCTTTGATTTCAATTAAATTAAGGGTATTTTAATGATTTTCACTATTTCCTTAATTTTATATAAAATTAAAAAATCATTTTTTAACTTTTCTATTGTAAAAGGAAAAAAATGACCTTTTTGAAAATAAAAATAAAAATTTGTTTTTTTTTTTCACTATTTTTTTTTACAATTTAAAACAAAATATATAATATGTTTTTTTTAATATACAATTAAGAAATAATGAAATGATTAGAATACCTTATATTTAACTAGACTTAATGGAAAAAATTAACGACCGTTAAACCGAGGGACTAAAACCATTGAAAATTGACGAACGTGAGAAGCCAAATCCGAGTTTTAAGGTTTATAAACAATTTACATTAAGAATTACAAACAATACGGATCAACATTAAACTTTACTCTAAAAGAAAAGAAAGAATGATAATGTTTAGTTGAAAGGCGATAAATTAATTTTGAGTAAACTACATTTTTTTATTAACCTGGATATTCAATCCGCTATGTGAGCCGACTAATCTCAGGACGACCACTTGCTTTGCAGATAGCCGGGAGTCACTGCATTTGAACCTCCGTGGCCATAAGGGGATTTTTATTTCACCTTAGATTTATTTTGACAAAGCTCTAAGTCCCTCCATCTAACGGAGGGTATTTTTGTCTTGTAGCCTCTTTTTTGTCTTTTACCCCACAAAGATGAAAATTGCAACATATAATATATTAAATATTTTTAATATTATTACTATTACAATTATTATTATATATAATGCAAATGTACTTCCCACCCGATAGATGTGACCATCATCTATGTGAAACATCCACCCCTACTCTGGTCAAGCCCCCGACAAATCCCCTCCCTCCGATGAAACCCATGTCACTCGTCTTTTCTAGTGAATATCCACATCGTCTTCTCCGTGAAACACCTAACCTCGGTCCCCCCTCACATCAGTTTCACCACCCTACAACACCAACCACCACTGTCATCCTTCAATACCAACCATTTATAACTAAACCCAAAACAATAAAAATATAAGAATTAGATTTAATATCAGTAACATTCTTAAAAATTTAAACTTAAGAGTATTCAAAAACATTTTCAAATATCATATTCATACATAGTAACCTAAATCTGAATAAAAATGCAAATCCCTAAATCAAAATCTCAAGAACATCAACAATAAAATGTAAATCAAAACTCTAAATGTCTTGAAACAAACTTGAATTTGATCAAATCTTTAAACCAGACTTGAATTTGGATCAAAACCCTAAAAAGTTATAAATCAATAACACCTCCACCCCTAGACGTGAATCGAGATAGAGAGGGAGAGGCATAGATGAATCGAAATAGAGGGGGAGAGACAGACATGAAGTTGTGTTCATCGACCTCCACCACCCCCCCCCCCCCCGAAAAAAAAAACTCTTGGTTTTTTTGTGTTCCTCGTCGATTTCAACCAAATAGAGATGGAGAGGCAGTCACTAATTCTTTTGTGTTCCTCGAATTGAGATATCTGGTGTTTGATGGGAATGGGTTGGGGTAGAATTAGTTGGGGTGGCAGAGGTGGCGGGTTGGGGAAGATCAGTTGATGCTCCGGTGTCTATGAGTTTATGATGTATATAAAAGACAACGAAGTCATTTAGGTAGCGTTTGATATATAGACATGACTGGACATGATAGAACTGGACAAGACAAGAGGTAGGACTGGACGGGACTGGACAAAACAAGTCTATGTCTAGTGTTTGGTACGACTAAGAATGGACGAGACAAAACTAGACAAGTTAACCCCAAAAGTTATTTGATATTTTAAATATTATATAATAGTTATAATTAACACAAATAAAGTAAATAATTAAAGAATTTAATTTATAATTATTTTTACACAATTTCATATAAATTAAAATGTACATATATAAGGGTACCAAATTTTAATGAAAAAGTTGACATAATTGATGGTAGTAGTAGTAGTGATGGAGATGGTTTTGGTTATGGTGAAGTATTGGTGGCCGACGATAGTAGTGGCGATAGATGGTGGTGGTCGGTGGCTGACGATGGTTATGGAGGTGGAGGTAGAGGCAGTGGTGGTTGGTGGACGATGATGGTTATAGGTGATGTGAAAATGGTGGATTGTGGTGGTGGTAGTTATGGTGGAGGTGAGGTGGTAATGGACGGTGGTGGTCGATGGTCAACGGTGGTTGTGGAGGTCGTGGATGAGGTTGCTATAGTAGAGGAGGAGTTAAAGGTAGCCAATTGTGGTTGTGGTAGTGGTGGTGGCAATGGATGGTGGTATCGGTGGCTGATGGTGGTTGTAGAGGTGTCAATGGACAGTGGTGGTCGGTGATTGATGGTCGTTATGGAAGTCATGGAGGAGGTTGTTGCAGTATAAGAGTTGGAGGTAGCCAACGATGGTAGTGTTGGTGGTAATGGGAGGTGGTGGTCGGTGGCCGATAGTGGTTGTAAAGGTGGCAATGGATGGTGGTAGTCGGTGGTCTGCTGTGGTAGAGGTGGCGATGGACGATGGTGGACTGTGGTTGTGGAGGCGATGGGAGGTGTTGTTGTAGTGGAAGAGGAGGTGGAGGGGGTCGCCTGTGGTGACGGCGGCCGAAACTAACGATGATGACTATTAAAACAAATATCATATTAAGGTTATATGTCAAACTACGGTAGATTAATAATATTTTAATTTCTATATCATTCTTGCCTCATTTTGTTCCACCTGTTTTGGTGAAATAAGAAAAAAACATCTTTTGTCTCACTTTGTCCTAGTTCTTGTCCTCGTTCCATATCACACAAAATGTGAAACAGTGAATTTTTGTTTTGTCCCATGTTGCGCCAAACATGGAACATTGAATTTTGTCTCATCTTGTCTCATGTACCAAACACAGTCTTAGGTGATTGACATTAAATGAGTTCTTAATTACATGGTCTCGTATCTATATAACAAAAAATAGGTTTATATACCTAAAAATCTCATACTTACATTGTATGGAGGGCATAGGACCGTAGGGTGGGTGTTTATAAACGACAAAACAACATAATTAATGGGTTTATATACCTTAAAATCTCAGACGAAGATCGTATGGAGAGCATAGGACCGTAGGGTGGGTGTTTATAAACGACAAAACAAAACAATTTTAATATAACAATAATATACTAATAATAAAAAAAAAGTAATTATTATTATTTTATTTCTTATTAATAAAAAGACAAAAACATTTATAGAAGGACATAAATACCCCTTAAATTAACCGGATTAACATGATTAGTTAGAGGAAGGAACTTAAAGTGTGCATTTTTATATACCACAATAATAAACGTATTTAAAGGAACTCACAACCAATAAATCACATAAAACCATAAATGTAATTTATTTATTAATTTTATGAGCACGAAGACGCGTGGAGGCAAGTGTTTGCATTAAAACCTTTTCTATATATAATTTAACAAATATTTAATATATTAAATAAAAATGATTTTTCACAAATTATCTTATCATAAAATATTTCACTAAAACCTTTCAAACAAATTCATTATTGAACATGACATTTGAATTATTTTTTAATTATTATCTGATAAAAATTAATACTAATAAATGTTAAAAGAAATTATCGTTTGTAAACCAAAACATATAAAGTATTGTGTTAAATTTGTTGTAAAAAACATCAGATTAAATATATATATATATATATATATATATATATATATCAATTAAATTAAACGTATGCAATTCATGTGAAACATGCTGTTTATTGAACCTCTTTCGCAAGTAGAATTCTTTTTTTGGGGAATGAAAGATGCATCCGCTAAATTCTGAGAGGTGTTCCAGGATATTAGAAAATACAATAAACATCAATAAGAAAAACTTAAAAGCCCTCAAAATCAACCACAAATTAAAAAAATCTCTTCAAACGGTGAAATTCAACTAAAAACACATCAGACATCTTTTTAGGCATTTGATACACTTTGAAGATACACCTGCTTGACAAAAATTCTACGTTCGATGTTAGTTATGAAGGAGAGGAGGAGGTGGTGGTCATTAAACTAAACTTCATTCTATGGTTATATTAACTTGTTAGTTTTGCCTCATCCTTGCAGAGAGTGACCCATAAATATTTTCAAAGTGATAGCACCATCTGACATATTTTCTGCAAAAAAAATACAGATTTGTTGGTCAATTTCTTACCTCTGCAACGAGGGGCCTTGTGTTTGACAATTCTTACTGTGATTTCTTCAAATCTTTTAAACTGAAAGCCAAAAATTAAAGAAGTCGGTCAAATGCAAAATTTTATGTTGCGTCCTTGGAGGACCTTAACACTGCAACATACACCAACATTTCTATAGTTTTACCACAAACTTGCGTCTTTAGTTTAGTTTCATAAAATATAAGGACACACAAGAAATAAAGCATATGCGTCTTTTAATCCCCAATTTTTTTTCTCTATGTGTCAGAACGATGGAGCAGGAGCACGCACACCCCTCCTCTCTATGTAAATCCGCCTTTCATATCGTTGTGATTTTTGTTCCCATAGACATACCAATATTTTATGAGGCCATGTTACATCTATAGTTTTTTATTACACTGCAAAATGAGATAACAAAAACACACACACACACACACATATATATATATATATATATACATACAAATTAGAGAGACAATGATGAGGCATATTACTTTTGTCTTATGACAAAAATTAATGAGCAACTAAGGTTGGCTATAATTTTACATTCGTTGATAAAAGACGCTAAACAATGTAAAATTGGACCCCAAAATTTTGAGGTTATGTTCAAAATCACATATTTAACATGTTAAAGAACGAACCTGTTTATTCAACCTTTTTCGGTGGAACATGAAAAGACCATTTTTGTCTTACTCTTTCTCAATCCTAAGTGTTACGTAAAACATGAAATAATGAATTTTTATCATGTTTTGTCCAGTTTCATATAAGATGCGACGACCTAAAGGATGACCATCTTTTGGTGTGTACCACCGTCCCTTATGCTTAACTTGTTGTATTGGGTGGTTGGGTTTAATAAATAGTGCAAAAAATAGTTGAATGAAAATATTATATTTTTATTAAATATTAAATACTTTTTAATAAAAGAAATATTAAAATAACTTATAAGTCAAAATAATAAGTCGTCGAAGGTTAGATCGGACAAAAACTGAGTGCAAATCTAAAACTTATTAAAACAATGTTATAACAACTATAATTATCGTGAGCTTTCAAACTAGCTCATGTGCACCGGTAGTTTGGAATCGTTTGTGTTCATATAGTGGGCATAAAATATTCTCAATGGTGATGCAAGTGTACGCCGACACTATGATCGCTTGCAAGTAATAGAGTGATAAAGTACCGAGGTTGTTTTCATAGGGATTGAGCTACTGAGAATAAGAGAATTTCATGAACTTCTTGAGCATGTTTCGGTTTGTGAATAAAAATTGGATTTTAGTTGGTGAAAAGCTTTAGAAGACGAATTAGACTTATAAATAAAAAGAAGAACATGAGTGTAAGTATTTCTCAAGACAAAAACAACAATATAATGGTCAGAAACTTATGAGGTGTTTATAAAAAAATTCAATCTCTCGAAAGTGAAGTTTTATAGACATTACCCACAAAGTTCCTACAAAGTTCTCATTTCCACCACTCTGAAGCTTGCTGATTTAACTGAGTAGGTAAAGAAATATTACACTGAAAATTCATACTCAAATCCCTTTGTAATACAAATCTCCAATACTTGAACCTTAGCTAAATACATACAAAAGTTGTATCTCTACACAATTATCAAATTTTTTCTCAAATCTTTGTGCACCACTTAAGCCATATTTTGAATCTGTCCATCTCTGAGTCAAAGATCTAATATTTTAACACTTCAAAGTATTTGGGTTATCCGCGTTGAGTTTTAGTCGTGACTTAAGTGATCAAATTTTCAAAGTGGTAAACAATGAAAACACCCAAAATGTTGCTTATAAATCCTAAGTTAATTCACACCCACATAAGTAATTATCTCATAATAGACATGTAAAGCATAATAGAAGACAAAAAATAAAACTTCAATGAAACTTTCTTTAAAATAGAAGAAGAGTCTATTGCCACAGTGGTGAAACTGTGTGCAGAAGATTACAGCTAAAAAACTTAATACATGAAAATTAAATGCTAAGACTTAAAACATAAGAGTAAAATGTAGAGAGACTTCAGCTGAAATAAGATGATCCTCAAATGAACTCAAGACTCATTTATACAGGGGAGGAAAAGATAAAGAGACCATCTTTTACTCATAGAAAATGAATCATTTAATAATATTTTATGGTTAAAAAGTCAACTCACCTCCTTTTATTCAAAACTCAAATTTCAAAGGTGGCTCCTGGACAACTTTTTAGAAACGTCTTCAAAAAAATTCCCTCCAAAAAATTGATCCTTATCCATAAATTCGGAATTTTTCCAGTGGTAACAATGTAGGCACAATCTTAAAGTGATTTTTTTTAATAAATTATCATTATTTGTGTTTCATCATCTTTTTAAAACTTTAAGAATAAACGGGAAAAAACATGAGAAAATAAGTGCTTAAAAGACATAAAAATAATAAATAAGAAATAACTCTAAAAAAATAAGTTATCATGCACCAAACGATCCCACGATTGACCGCGGGTTCAAACTCAAGGTAAATAAATTTTTCATTGCATCCCTAAAGCGTACAAGCATATCACAATCCGGGTAATTAATGGCAACAAATGTGAGATAGTATATTGAAGTATTAAATATAGCATATATTTAAAGCAAATAAATATGAACCTAATGTCTTTGGACTATTGTCATTTACTTTTTCCAGAGTAGTCATCATCGATGGATGGGAACCTAGCATGTACCCATGTAGTAAATTCATTAACTTCTTGTTTGATTTTATAACTTCTTGCATGTTTGCAAATTGATTGAATTTTCATTTTATATATATATATATATATATAT